CCATGGTTCAGTGAGGGACGCCGTGTCTTGTGGTGGACCTGGCCCTACGGTCCTCCCCGTGTCTTGTCTCTCTGACCAGGAATGTTGTCCTCAGGGCTTGGTGGGCCAAGATGTCCTCTCCTCCTTCTTTTTCCCTTTACGTTTCTCCCATGTGCTCTGATCCGAAGAGCCCCTCTCCCCAAGCTGTAGCCCCAGTGCTGTCCTCCGAAGTGCATTCTTCGGAGGGGGGTGTGTCCACATAGTTGGGGTTGGGGCCTGCCCCGTGAACCTCTCTATTGGTTCCCTGGTACATATCAGTATGTTGTATTCACGTCTTGGTGCATAAGGTTGAAGCCTGGTCTCTCCTTCTTCTGTGGAGATATAAACGATACCCTCCCCTTGGGTGGATCAGTGCCCTCTTCCCCCTCTACCTATGTGTTTTTTTCTTTCTTTTCCCTCTTATTTAGTTGGCTGCTTGTATGTATCCCTGGATTGGGTTTGGCCCCTGCTATACTTGCAGGACAACTACCACAATCTGAAACAGTGATTCTCAAACTCTTAGGGGGATTAGAATCTCCTGAAGGGTTTGGTTTGTTAAGTAGCTTAAAGTGTTGAATACAAAAATTAATTATCTGAAATATAAATCTCCACTTAATTCCCAATAAAAATATTGTTTGAAAAATAAAACACAGATTGCTGGATCTTGTGCTCAGTGTTTCTGATTCAGTTGGTGTGAGGTAGGGCCCCAGTTTTTATTTCTAACAAGTTCCCAGGGATACTGTTGCTGCTGTTCCAGGGGCCACACTTTAGAAAACACAGGAGTAGGGGATCCACATGAAGGCTAAGACACAATCTCAGCATTCAGGGTATGTGAAAACTCATTAGGGAGACAAGAAAAATCTCAGGGACACTTAAAAACAGAAAGTATCATAGAATTTCAGGACTCCTTCACTCAACTAATACTGCATGATTACTAGCCATGCAACCAGCATTATTCTAAGTAAACACAACAGACCCCAAACCCTACCATCATGCAGGCCTCCAGTGGAGAAATAAAGACCATAAACAAGAGAATTTGAAATATATATAAAATATAAGATAGCGATAAGTAGTAAGAGGGAAAAGTATTATTGTTGTTAGATGTTGTTGAGTCAGTTTTGATTCATAGTGACCCAGAACTAAACAGTGCCCGGTCCTGCACCAGTCTCACAATTGTTCTTAAGTTTGAGCCCATTGTTTCAGCCACTATGTCAATCCATCTCATCAAGAGTTTTTTCCTTTTTCACCTCCACTCTACTCTAACAAGCATGGTGTTCTTCTCCAGGGACTGGTGTCTCCTGACAACATGTCCAAAGTATGGAGCCAAAGTCTCTCCACCCTTGCCTCTAAGGAGCATTCTGTTGGTACTTCTTCGAAGACAGATTTGTTTGTTCTTTTAGCAGTTCAGGAGTCCTAGTGGCACAGTAGTTACACGTGGGGATCTAACCTTGAGGCCAGCAGTTCAAAATCACCACCCACTCAGTGGGAGAAAGACAGGGCTTTGTAGTTTCTCCCGTAAAGAGTTACAGTCTCGGAAACACATAGGAACAATTTGACCCTGTCCTATAGGGTTGCCAGGAGCCAGCATCAACTTGATAGCAGTGAGTTTTGTTTTTGTTTTTAGGGTTTTTGGCAGTCCGTGACACTTTCAATATTCTTTATCAGCACCCTAATTCAAATGCATCCATTATTCTGCTGTCTTCTTTATTCAGTGCCCAACTTTCACATGCATATGACGGGACTAAAAAAACCATGGCTTAGGTCAGGTGCACCTTAGTCCTCAAAGTAGCCTCCTTGTTTTTCACCACTTCAAAGAGGTCTTGTGCAGCAGATTTACCCAATGCAGTGTGTCTTTTTATCTCTTGACCTCTGCTTTCCATGAGCATGGATTGAGGATTCAAGCAAGATGAAAGCCTTGACAATGTCAGTCTTTTCTCCATTCATGATGATGTTGCCTGTCGCTCCCATTGTGACTGGAGATGGCAATGCTTGTCGTCATCAGCGAGTGCTCCAAACCTGCTTCACTTTCAGCTAGCAAGGTTGTATCATCTGCATATTGAAGGTTTTTAATAAGCATTCCTCCAATTCTGATGCCACCTTCTTCTTCATACAATGCACCTGCTCTGATTATTTGCTCAGGGAGGAAGGATAGAAGGGGGAATAAAAAATATCAGAGGGGATTGCAATATTTGCTAGGGTAGTCAGAGAAAACCTCTCAATTGCTTCTTTTAGCAAATGTGTACTTCATGACTACCACATTTCTTGCAAATAATAAACATGTTAATAGTTGTTTTTTTTAACTAATCTCACTTCTCCTTGCACCCCAGGTATTTTCATAAATGCACTATGCTATTTTTTACAGTAACATGAATATACAGTAATAAATTATCATAGCACACTTGCAAAAATACCTGTGGGGGGAGGGTACATTGGCTAAAATCTTGAACATGAGCATTATTTTCAAAAATAATACATACTATGTGTCAGGTATTGTTTTAGATGATAGCGATATAGGTATAAATAACATATAACACCTGAACCCTTATAGAATAGACATACTTAGGCATCAGAACTCCTGTGGTTCTGATATTAATGATATGATATCATGTGACTATGGATGGTCATTATCCTTCCGCTAACTAAGTTTCTGTTCTATCTGTAAGGTTACAGGGCGCTGTTTTCAGGCAATTGGGAGCATTTAAAAGTGGTTGAGGAAGACTTCGTGTTGAAAGAAAATCTTAAATGGAAATGCCGGTGATTTTCATAGGCCTAGGGAAACTACAGAGTGTGGGAAGTGGAAAGCTTACTTCAGAATAATATGAGCAAAAATATGAAGAGTAAGGAGATCAAAGGGTTTAGATGGTGTAGTAGCTGATATAGTTGGGTAGGTGGTGGTGACATTGAATGATTTTCTGAAGAATTACTATGATGTACTTGAACCAATAGCGTGTTCTGTGGAGTTGACCCTTGTGCATAACGAAACTCAATGCTGTCCAATTCTGGGCCAGTCCCATGATTGGCTACAGATCTGACTGTTGTGATCCATAGGGGTTTTGTTGGCTGTAACAACACAAAAGCCTCCATTCAAGGGGAATTGAACATGGAAGGCAATATTTATTATATTATATTATATTATATTATATTATATTATATTATATTATATTATATTACTGACCCTCCAGTTACCCTGGAGTATGTGGTAGGTGTTCTATTTATTAAGATGAAGTGGGAGCTGATCACAAAAATGGTGTTTTAGTATTGTTAACTTAGCAATCAGAGAAATCATCATATTTTTTGTGATTAATAAATATATAGCTAAACATTTAACATTTCCAGAATCTTTGTAAGTACAATTCAATAACATGATGTTAAACATCATCCTTATCCATAGTCAAATTGTTTTGTTTTATTTTAATTATGAAGGAGTTGAAGCCGTACTTTGGTATGTGGCTGTCTGATTATGATATTACTATCAAACTAATTCTGGGGTCATTTTCAATCCCTAAATGCCAATGAAGTTACATAATTTTCTGAAGAATAGTTATGACATACTTAGATAAGTTACTATTTTAACTTAATATTTTGGAAAGTGTGGGCAGTGAATTTGAGTAGAACATTCTTAATGTTTGTCCTATTGCTATCCTTATTATCCCTTGAAATATCAGGTTGGATTGAGATTATCATGGCACATGTAAACTATCGAGTAGAACTGTTCGGTAGGGTTTTAAGACTGTGATTGCTCAGAGGCAGATTTTCAGGCCTTACTTCAGAGGCACCACAGGGTGGGCTTGAACTGCCAACTTTTAGATTAATCTTTCCCAGAGATTCGTAACATATGTTGGGTGGGGGTGGAGGGTGGTGGCTTAGAAAAATCCTAGAAAAATGAAATTACCTTTCAAGTTCATTTTCCAGAAGTTTTGAAGAAGTCTTCTTATATGTTTTAAATATATGTGTGACACACACGTATGAAACATAACATTTAATAAGTGCTCACTTAGACGGGTGCAAGCAAGACCAAGCTCTTCTCCTTCTGCTTGTTTGGTCAAAGATAACACAAGATATTATTCTTGGCAGATATTCTCTTGTTTTTAAAATAGTTAATTTTTGTTCTGTTGTTGCTAATATACACAGCCGCACATACACCCATTCAACCATTTCAACATGTATGATTCAGCAAGATTGATAACATTCTTCAAGTTGTGCAATCATCCTCACCCTTCTATTCCAATTTGCTTTTCCATCATTAACAGAAGATCACTGTCCACGATGATTCCTTTCTAATCCTTTGAGTTGCTGTTGTCAGTTTAACTCACTGTAGAGATAGGGCTCGGGAGAGCACAGTGGTCAAAGGCAGGTGTTCTTTACTAGTTGAACTTAACTATTGTCTCAAGTATGAGAGTAGAATCAACCTCCTAGAAGCAGCCACTCTTGAAGAGAGTAATGATAGGGGTTCACTGTCCGAACAGTGGGTCATGCATATTTGCCATGTGAACACCGTCAGCACAGGAAGTTTTACCGTAACTTCCAGATCAGATCATAACCTCCAGAGGAAGACGGTTAATTTATTAAATCATGACAGACCAAACCCTCACCTCTTTCCCCTCTTGAGTGTGCTTTAAACCCGTGCTAAGTATGGTCTGCAAAATACTGACTCGCACTGGCATGAATCAATCAAAAGCGATGATGATGATGATGGCTTTATTAGCGCAGAAAGGGATCCTTTCTCTTTTAATATTACACACTGTGGATAATACTTCTAGACGGTGTCTGCTGGAAATCTGCAACTTTCTTCAGAATTGTTTTGAGAAATTGAGGCACACCCAGAGAAACAGTGCAGCGCTGCTTTTATGAAGGACAGCCACAAAAGCTATACAACGTTGTGAGAATTTGGGGCCATTGAACCAAAATTGTTGCTGGGTCTCGAGGGTGGTCATTTTTCCATCTTATGTATATGTGATCCTTTATTTCTTTTTAATAAACAGGGGAAGGAGAATTGTCATGGGAGCATTCTGATGCTGATATCTTCCGGCAACCTGCCAACAGAGAAGCAGTAAGTGTGAACCGCTCAAATAATTTCAACACCCCACAGAAATAGGGCAAACTTTCCTCTGCCCATGGCTCATATCCCAGCAAAGCCATATTAGGGCTTATTTCTAACACCATTTTTTCTCCCACTTTGTCAGCAATCTGAATGCCATTATCACCAACCTGTAACCATTTAAGGGCACTGTGTAATTGGTAACTTGGGCCAAGATATAGAACACACGCAAAAATTTTCATAATTCTATGCGTAAGGAATCCTTAATCTAGATGAGAAGTTGGTACCCTTTCAAGATGACTTGCCAATAAGGAATCGAGGGCACTACCGCTATCCTCCATCCTGAAGAGCCTTTGTGCTATTACTATAAACTAATCCAGACCACCCTTTTGGCAGAAGTATTTTGGTCTTATCCACAGAAACCCTTTCCTAAGTCTTGGGCTTTCAGCCATGCGGTTGGAGAAAGGAAAAGTAGCAGGCCCAATTCCCCTTACTCAGCCTTGCGAAGTCCTCTTCTCATTTCCATTCTAGGCACTAACCTCACTTTTGGAGGCAGCGCTCTACATATGGTCATAGCCACTCCGATTCCTTTGTAGTGGAATGTAATTAACCAAATTTTCTTTCAAAAAATGCACATGCCAAAGAAGAGTCATATTTTGTATTTCTTGAACTCTGAAAAGGAGATGTTCCAGCTCAAAGAATATGTGAAAGGACTCATAATAGTGTACTTATAATAGAGGTGTTCATTGCATGTAAGAGGGCCTGCATCACACCTTTGCACAAAAATGTGTACCGAGGTGACCATGGAAGCATTCTGCATGGAGACAAACTAAATGCCTATCAACAGGGACTTACTTAAATAAGCCCATTCTATAGTGTAGTTATCATATAGTTGTACCAAGGAATATGGTACTTTGAAGCATGTTAAAATAGAGAGGTCTCTAAGATCTATTATGTGAGCAAAGCAAGGAGTAAGACAACAATTATACTACCATTTCCTCAGGTCAAAATCTGTGTGTGTGTGTGTGTGTGTGTGTGTGTGTGTGTGTAAATGCATACATCTGGAAGGCCATGGATTAAAATGTTAAGAGTTGGAAATCTCAGAGGGTTGGAATTAGGCAGGAGAAAGGTTGTCTTTTACTTTTTTTGTAACTTCTGGATGATCTCACTTTTTCAGTGAATATGAATTAGTTTCTCAATAAATACAGCCTAAATTATTTTCTAAAACTTGTCACAGCAAACATCGGAAAAAAATAAGGCAAAAGTCTAGGGGATTACAGGGCAGGCTCAAGGATAGTACAGGTGTGAAAAAAGTAGAGGATATAACAGAATGGCCAATACAAACATCAAAGTGTTGCTTAGGGTGTGCTTCTCAGTCATCACATGGGCCTCTTCTGGATGGTAGGCCCTAACTTGCTATCCATCACCCAACCGAAAGCCAGAGTAGTGAGATGGAATGAGATCTATTCACTTTATCCTCTAGTAGTAATGATTTCTGGCCATGGTTGTTTCTGGAATGATTGTGGAATGGAGAAGAGTATTCTGAACATGTTAAAAAAAGTGGCGCCCTTGCAAGCATTGACTTTCCAGTTATTTGGCTGGCATACACCCTGAGGAAAGATGATCTACACCCAGCTCTAATTGTTTTATAGTAAAATCAGATTCTTTTCCAATCCAGACAGGAGATGATGTCTGTGTTGTGAGTTTCTTCTTTAACTGAGCCTCCTACCACCCTTCTTTAAATTGTGGTAAAATGTTGAGAGAGTATAAATTGGTGGCTGAAAACCAGATTCCATTCTAACCAAAATTTAGAGTGCAGTCATTTTAAGCTGTTTGCCTTGTTTTCTAACAAACAGGACCCCAACGCTGAACACGTGGCCATCTCAGGGGTTTTATTGGCAATGTCATTAATTAGCCTTTCACCTTGACTTTGTCTTATAGTTCCCCCAACATCACCGCTTTACCTTCAGCCTCCTATTCATAAATTGCCAGGGATAGGGCTGAATTTAATCTAGCATTTCCCTTAGAAAAAGAGGTTAGAGACAGAATCTCAGGTCTTCAAATAGTTATTGATTTTCAAAGGCATTCAGGACCTATATTTACAAACAAACATTTGAGCCTGGTAGACCAAAATGGCCAGATGGTTCTACTTCATTATAAGTAAATATTTTCTTTGTTCTACAAAGGGTAGATATTGCGGGATATGATTTGAATAATAAATAGCATCTGCAGTCAGGGAGAAGTATGTACCGGGCACATAGTAGGCATCCAATAAATATGTGTTGAATGGACAGGTGTTGAAAGTTGAGTAAAATGAAAAGGAGAGGGATTCCATTAATTTTAATGTACAAAGAATATGTACCAAATAAGAAAGAAAATGCTTCAGGGTTGGTGTTTGCTCTTTGACCAGCTGAAACTAGATGGTAGGAGTATCCCTTTTGAATATCCTTTGCAGCCCCACCATCCTGCATGACTGTTTCTCTTGCAAGTCCTCTAGGCATTTTTCTGCTCGTAGACTATCAAAAAGCTCACTTCAGCAGAAACACAGCTGATTGGTTTATTTTTGCCAAGTGAGCTAAAAATCATCATCTTAAGTTTTAAAAGCTGCCAATGAAGAGGAACCCAGTGGTTCAAATATGATTCTTTTTCCAAAATAAGAAAGTTTTTGCTTGTTTTCCAGATCATAAGATCTGGTCTTTGTGTTAGTGTGTGTGTGTGTGTGTGTGTGTGTGTGTGTGTGTGTGTGTGTGTGTGTGTGTATGCCCGGTGTGTGAGGAGGGAGGGAGAATAAGCATGGGGTAGAAAGCCCAAACATGAAAGCAAACATAATTTTATTTTGGATCACAGCCAAATTCTGATTTTGCCCCCAATAGATTACACAAAGATTTACCATTAAAGAAGTTAAAGAGTTTGGGATAGAAACAATATGAAACAGATTTTTTAAAAGTCCATCTTTAGTTTACATCGACAGAACAATGGTTTGGGAAGGAAATTGACCTAATGTCCTCAGACATGGATAGGTCTTGGTTAGTAGTGACTTAGATATAATGTTTTCGTGGCCATGTCGATTAGAAGGCTATTCAAATCTCTGGTCCATGGTCAGAGGGGATTCAGCAGGGGCTTAGTCTAAAGGTACTTTAAAACCATACAACTTTTAAATAATTGCAGAGATTTGTGTTTGGGAAAATTGGTGGTGCAGTCAGTTGGACACTGGGTTGCTAATCACAATGCCAGTGGTTTTAATTCACCGGCCACTCACTGTGAGAAAGCTAAAGCTGTCTGAACTCATCACCATTTATAGCCTCAGAAAACCCAAGAGCGGTGTTACTCTGTCCTATAGGGTAGTGATGAGTTGGAATCGGGTCATTGAGAAAATTGTAAATTTCACTCGAAATTGTCAGAATTAAACCAGAGAGGAAGGATGAGGCTTTCTCCTCCCGTGAAGATTTGCAGTTCTGCCCTGTCCTATAGGGTTGTTGTGAGTCAGCATTGACTTGATGTCAGTGGAAGTGATGCCCTAGGGGGATAATTGCTAATATTATTTAAGATGAAATGACATCTCCAAGGTGACCAGACACATATGTAAACCACAAATGCATGAAAGTACTTTGGACTTGCACTTAATTATACCCCCAATCTAAGAATAATTAGTTCCTATCGCATGGCCCTGATTGATGCTCACTCTCATGAAGAGATCACTGTAGCAAAGTATGGTGAAGATGGTGCCCAATAAGCAGAAAGAATAGTGTTATGTGTTGCACACCAGGGAAACCATTGTAATCGCTGTGACTCACATCATCCTGGGTCCTATGTGTAAGCTGTGGGCTTGAGTTGTGTAGGCTGCTCCTCAGTGACTTGATTGGTGGGCTTAAGTCACAGTAGACTTCTGTCTATTCTGGGTTACTAAACTGTCTATACTGGGTCCTGTTGGCAGTGATTCCTGAGAAACAAATCTTCCCTTTGCCTTCTCCCTAATATGAACACAGGCAAGTCTGTTGGAAATTGATATGCATACTGTATTGTATCCAGTTTGGATTTTAAAAGTTTTAGATTTGTTAAAGTTCACTGTATTGCTTTATTTTCATAGCTATTTAAAATCTTAATAAATTGTTAATCATTAAAAAGAATAGTGTATAGGATTTTAAAGGCTTATCTTCCAACAAGCAGCCATCTAAATGAGGTGTCAACTAAGTCCACATGGCAGAAGCACACTAGCCTATGTGATCCAAGGGTTGTAAATAAAATTAATCCCAATCTAGAGGATGGAATGGTATAAAAGCTTAAATTGTGAACACCTGGTTTTCAGAATGTTATGGAAGACACTGAAAGACCAAAGTATATTCAGCTTTCGGTGAATCTCCTCTCTCATAGTTCAGGGATGTGAACAGCCTTGTTATCAGATAGAAAACACTGTAAAGTCCATTTTGGCAGATTTATTTAGGTTAAAATGAAATAACTTATCATGATACATTTTAAAGCTGTTGCAGTTTACAAAAAATGTGAAGGGGAAATGCACATAGACTAAGCCCCTGCTGAATCCCCTCTGATCATGGACCAGAGATTTGAATAGCCTTGCTATTGTGTAGAATATATTGAAAAGTACATTTTTGCAGGTGCAGTTAGGTTAAAATTTAGCTCCCTATCATTTGATCTCCCTTATGATCCATTTAAATTTGTTCTAGTTTTTAATGTGTTCTGATTTCTTTCTGGTTGAGGTTTTTCTCTTTTAATTTGCTAATGTTGTTAGTTTTAGGTTTTCTTTTTCTTTTTTTAATGTTTCCTGTATATGAAATCCAGGATACGTACATCTATAGAGACAGTGACTGAGATAATGTTTTCTTGGGGATATGGCAGGGGAGGTTGGGAGGAAATGGGGAGCTAATACTGATGAGTACAAGAATGAAGAAAATGTTCCAAAACGGATTGTGGTGATGATAGTCAGCATTTTGGGATGGGAATGAACTACTGAATTATGATGTGTGAATTATATACAAGTAAAACTATCGGGGAACACGGTTGGGAAAATCCTAATATGGTCACACTCAATGGTACCATGCAGCAAAAGTATAGTGTAATTATACAAATGATGGTATAATACAAGGCGGCTTCAAAAAGTTCATGGGAAAATGGAATAGAAAGATAATGGCTTTCCCTCTAGGAAATTTTTAAAGCCCTCTCATATCACCACCAGGATATTGACATTTAAGGCCCTTTCTGAGATTTGGCATTCTCCTGTCGCCATCAGTAGAACTATTATATCCTAGACCTTAGAATTAGCAAGGTAAAAAGTACTGGAGAATCTCTGCAATAGTGGGGAGTTCCAACACCTGAAAAGAACCACAGGGAGCCTCTTGAGCCCTTCCTTAGTCTGTCTGTTAGTCAAATTGGTACGTTAAACACAAACAGTCCGGTCCATAACTAACTTCAGTTAGTCAAATGTTTGTTTTAGTTAATAGAATACATTCTGTGCATAAAAAAACAAAAGAAATACTTCCAGATACATTAAGCCATCTTTAACACAATAATATGTAATGATGTCTTAAAGCTCCTCACAAAGTAGCACCTGCTTATTTTTGAAACCATTATATGTACTACAAATATTTAATATAATAGACTTCATGGGGTTTGTAAAGATGTTTATCAGCAGGGACCTCCTTGTATTGAAGAGCCACATTAAAAGCCTGGAATATTTTTCAGTCCTTCAAGTAAATGAATCAAAGAATATCAAAACATGGTGCAAAATAAAACACGGTTATATGGTCCTGTCTCCCTATCTCCTTGTGACCATATCTCTCAAGCTGCCTGTTTACAGCTGGATTTTAGAATAAGCTTTACATCTGCTCACAATTTTAAGACCCTAGGGCCTTTTTTTCTCTCTTGCTGGAAATGACCAGATTAGGATGGCCCCTGGTCAGCCTTTTTCAGGTGTTTAGAAGAGTCTGCCCCCAAACTGCCATTTTTCTTAAAGTGAAATTGTACACCACCACCACCACAGCCGCTGCAACACAGAAGTCTTTGTGTCAGTGATTCTCAACCTTAGCTGCCAAGTAGAATTCTCTGGGGCATGTATAAAAACCCTGATGCCCAGGCTGCACATCAAACCAATTACATCGGAATCTCCAGAGGTGGGACCAAAGCATTGGTGTTTTGTAAAGCTACCTAGGTGATTCCAGTGTGCAGTTGAAATACAGCAGTGTGGGGTTATGAATACTGTAGCCAAAGAACTTCCTTTGATCCTGCAGGAGAAAGATGAGACTTGCTACTCCCTTAAAGAGTTACAGTCTGGAAACTCACAAGGCTGTTCTACCCTGCCCTATAGGGTCACTGTGAGTCCCAAACCACTCAATCGATAGCAGAGTTTGTTTGTTCGTTTGATGTTTGGTTCTCTTTGATCTGCCTCTAGCCTAATATTTCTGAGCCCCTGAGCTTGACCACACATTAGCTCTCCTACATTCTCCTGCCTTCTCCCCTCCAAGTCCTTCTCTCCACCGTTTCTCCCCATTCCACTCTCCTGCCATGTCTACAAAACCTCAGCCTTTCTTTTGATCCTGAATAGACCCCCTCCCATACCTGGCCTCAGTGTCTCTGTCTGTAAAACAAAACCAAACAAGATGTAGTTCTGGAGGACTGACTGGTCCATTAAAATCTTTAAGACTGCCCCCACCTCTTAAATAATTTTGCTAATGCTATCAAATGCCCTGGGAGCCCTGGCAGTGGTGTAGTTGTTAACGCGGTGTAGTTGTTAAATTGTAGGCGCTAACCTAAAGATCAGCAGTTCGAACCCACCAGCCAGTCTGTTGGAGAAAGTTGTAATTATCTGTAAAGTTAAATGCTACGGCCCAGTTTTCCTTTGCCTAGGGTCAACAATGAGTCAGAATCAACTCCCTGACAGTACTTCTGGTTTGGGTTCTTCATCATATACCAATCCCTGGTACCAAAGGATCGTGTTTTAATTGTGTATTCCCCATCAGGAACCAGGATAAGCTGCAAGTACAAGGAATTGCCTAGTTCTAGCCTGGTAGAGCTTCATCCTTTCAGCTCTAGTCAGACACCCACCAGCCAAACTGTCCTTTCTTTGTTCCAGGGTTCCTTTAGCAAAATCCTGCCAAACTCCTGAAAGGACAGAACAGCCTGTCATGGCCTCTGTGGAATGTGAGTGATGATGTAGGCAGAAAAAGATATGAGCCATTGTGGGAATGAAAAAGACTGCAGTTGAGAATCTGGCCGGTGTGCAAAATCCACCGATACCCATTCTTATTTGTGTGCATTCATATAACTGTACAGTAGCATAGACTCGCCGTAGCTAGAAAGCGTAGTGTTCTTTCTCAAAAGATCCTGTTCTCTCTCCCCTTCCCCTTCCTGACCCAAGAGAGCAGTACACGGTCTTAAAGTCACGTTTGCAGCATAGGGGTCTAACTAAGGCAAATGCTTTGAATCCATGTTTTATGGGATGGTGTGGTCAAGGGACGTGATGGTTACCTTCGCAAAGTTCCTACACTGTTTCTATCATGAAATATAAAGGTTTTGCTTTTTCATGGAAAGAATATTTGTTTACTGGCCACCCTCCACCCTCACTATTAGCAGTCGGGGTCTTCTGGCTAACATCTTACAGCTTCATTCTCCATTCATCTCAAGTCTCCTCAGGTTCTGGGAAAGGAGTGGCCAACAGAACAGAGGATTTACTGTGTCCACCTACTGAGAGAGCAGTGATTGGATTGTGTGGGCTTCGAGGGTCCCCGTTTTTGTTAGGTACCACAGCTTTCATTTGTTCATTCAACAAATATTTCGGGAACGGTTTCTACTTACACTCTTCTTATAACTGTAATGGAACAAAACAAAATGTTCCTCTCTGTGGAGCTTAGGTTCCAGTACTGCCTTGCACTGCCGACTCTTCTCCCTTTAAAATGTCTAGCAGATCTGTGCCCTCCTGTTTGCTCTCCTATCATTGCCTCCATGCAGGATGTCAGAACATTGGCTGATCTCGCTTTCTCCCCTACAGTTCACCGCACACATCATCAGGGGATTCCATGCTTGGAAATACAGTTGGGATCCAGTCGTTTCCCCACTTAGAGAAACATTCTTAAAAGGCTTCCACACCCCTATCTCTACTACTTACCAAATACAACCTTCACCCTTTAGCATGTCATTTAGTTTCCTCCATGATCTGACCCCCAAATACTTTAGAAATGTTCATCGTGGGCAGATTACCTAGTAAGCAAGGTAATCATGGGCTACCTTGTGCTTCCTTGCTAATTTGTAGTGATCAACCGCACATTTTTCATCATCATATGATCAAACCCACGTGAAAGAGTTCACTACAGATTAGTAAGTAAGCATAAGGAAGCTGGTGCTTGCCTTGCTTCCTGCCTACTCTGGCCCTGTCAGGGATTAAACACTTGATGGAAACGATACAGTTTGAGTCTGGAGGAAGGGGCTGCGGGGTTGAGAGGAAGACAACTGCCAGCCAGACCTAAAAGCAGCATCTTTGATGTGGTGATAAAGTGAAAACGTGGCCACTCCAGATTAAGCGGTAAGCACAAGTAGACCGGTGCCTACCTTGCTTATTGTGAATCAGACACTGGATAGGATCCTTCAACTATTTCCTTTTATGGACACTATGTTCTCTGCGACATCTTCTCCACCTGGAAAACTTTGTCTGGAACATTCACTGCCAATTCTGCCTGTAAAAAGTCTATTCACCCTTCATGGGCCAAGTCACGGACCTGCCCCAAGGATAAGCTCTCTTTTTCCTCTTAATTTGCACAGCTCTTAATTTGACTGTTGGGGGCTCTGTCATATTCATTCCCTCTTAACTTTGAGACCCAAACGCGCAATTCTTGGGTGTAGGAATGGTACTTTACCCTGTGTGCCTGTTTGATTGTGCTGCCCACCCTGGAATTGAGCTGTGAATCTTGTCCAATCAGCATGTGTCTGCTGCTTCTTTCACAGGGCCCCGTCCCTAGGTAAACTGGAAGGAGGCTTGGTGGCATAATGGGTTATGTGTTAGGGTCCTAACCACGGCACGACCCATCAACCACGGTGTGGGGCAAGGATGAAGCTGTTGGCTCTCAGAAAGATTTAGTCGCTACGGATTGGAATTGATGTGCTGGCACTGGGTTGGTTTTTTGTTTTGTTCTGTTTTGTTTTTAATTGGCCTTTGTGAGTGGGCAGTTAAGTTCAGAACGTATCCTTAAAAGTTAATAAGATTACCAAATGACTTCTTAGGTATGTTACTTCATTGCTGCCATCTCATTGGTGGAGTTTGTGTCTTGAAACTGTCCTTGTCATTTTTTAGAGACACTCTTACCACCGGTCTCACTATGATCCTCCACCAAGCAGACAGGCAGGAAGTCTGCCCCGTTTTCCTGGGACCCGAAGTCACAGGGGAGCTCTGATGGATTCCCAGCAAGCATCAGGGACCATCGTACAGATTGTCATCAATAACAGACACAAGCATGGCCAAGGTAAGAGGCATCCGTATCAGGACTCCCGTAGCCTGAGTCTTTAGTGGGTTGGAATTCAGAAAGGGTCCTCTCTTGTCCATACTCACACATACCCCACCATTCTAGCCCACAGAGTCAGTGTGGACAAGTGACTCCCGGGGATGCTTAAGGCTCTCCTAAATACAGATAACAGAATCCATATAGCACTATACCTGGTACTAATTTAGGAAAAGCCTAGAGAGCAGCTAACCATAAGCCTACAGTGGATAGTATAGAGAGATGGCTTACCCAATAAGCATGCTGAGCTTGGCTTTATTTATGCTTATTTGCCAATCTGTAATCAACCTTATCATATGTTTTTCACCTTATAATGTGAAACAGTTCATGCCAGATTAATAAGTAAACACAGGTAAGCCCGTGCTTGTACCATTCCTTTCAAAGATTATAAATTTGAAAAGAAGCTCAGAATTTATAGGGAGATGCTGAGGGGTTGAGAACAAGAGAGAGCGACTAGTTGGAAGCAGGATCGTTGACGTGGTGGAAATAAAATGTGCAGCGATCCAACACAGATTAGTAAGCACAAGTAAGCTTCTGCTTCCTTTAGTCCATAATCTGTGGGACCTTGGGAGCCCCCTTTGTGTTTGTGAAGCATCTCTTCCAGCATTTCCACAGGGGCTGCAGAGAGCTGCGGGCGTTTGTTGAGTTCCTGCTCAGAAGGTTTGCTTTCTGAAGGTTGGGTCATTGTCAAACTCTTTTGAAGCTCTTATCCATACCTAGGAATTAAAAAAAAATAACAATAGAGAGACGAATAGATATCATATGGCGTTTCCAACCCAAGGCAATCCCAGGTGCTTCAGTGCACGACCTATGCTCCATAGGGTTTTCAATGGCTGATGTTTCATGTGGCATCTCCAGGTTTTCCTTCCGAAGCCCCTCTAGGTGGATTCAAACCTCTAGCCGTTGCGTTAGCACACAACCTTGTGAACGGTTTGCTTCGCTCAGGGGTTCCAATTAGAACTCATGGTGACCCTGTGGGACTGAAGATAACCTCACCCTTTTCCTCAGGCTCCACTAGTGCATGTCAGCTGCCAAGTGCTCCATCACTTAGCCACCAACGCTTCCCCCCAGAATAACATAGGTCCACATTGTGCCTAAGGGGCAACATGGAAACACAGCCCGGATGATGGGTAGCATCTGAGGTGACTGTGCTTAGATAGGAGTAATCCTGTGAGAAATCCAAAAACCTGCTCCGGCACCAGGAGAATTGATCAGGTGCAGCTCCTGACGTGCAGCTCCTCAGCTGACTAATGCATGTAGCATGCACGTCTCCCTCTGTCCATGGGCCCATTTCTCCCTATACTGGATTCCCCGGCCTTTACCCCTTTCCCACTTAGTGGGGGTGAAGGGAAGAGCAATTCAATCAAACAGTTGATAGCTGCTTACTTTTTTAGGCATCATGTCAACCAGTGCTTCGGAGCAAGAGCTCAGCTGGTTCCTTTTTATGAAACCAGAAACATATTTTGTTTCCTTTAAAAGAAAATCAAATCAAAGGCAGTTCTCTGAATGGGTTAAAGCAATACATTTGTTAAACCAAATGATTTAATAACATGGCTGAAAAACAATCTGATACAAAGAACTCCGACTATCAATCTCTGAAACGCTAGTCAAGGCAAAGCAAGGGGATCACATCAGTTACCAGTTAGATGTAAATGCAGATTATAAGTAAAAAAAATTAAACTGCTTTTGACATTTCCAATCTTAAAAGAAATACACTTAAATATATAAATATTAATAATAATAATAACCACTAGTGGTGTATTACATGTATAGGAAATATTTACCACTGATTTGGGTTTGATTTGAAATATATTATTTGTAAATTCCAAGGCATTGGGATATGGATTTGTGAAAGGAGGAGGAGTTAGGGACAGATGAGATTTGGTTTTTGATCCTAAATTGCCTGCAATAGATTCCATTTGCTCCCAAAGTATTTCAGAACGTTAGAGAAACATGTGGGGCAATGGATTTGTCAAATCCTAAGTCCCAGAGTTTCCATCAGGCCTCTTCATTTGTGGTGGCAGAGGTTCATCCCTGGATTTTCTCCATGTCCTATGAAAGCGCCAGCTGGTTGACATTGGTTCATCTGCCCCGACCGATTTGGAGGCATCAGTTCTCGTTGGACCTTTCAATTATAATTCTTTGGATAATCCCTTGCCCTCCACCCCCAATTCTCAACTCACAGCTCCCAAACTGGACGATTCAAAAATCATCTTCAGAATTGGTTGGTGGAGAGTAGACTGCATTTCCGTATCACCGCATTCCACTTCAGAGTGTATGCTTTCCCCCAGTCTGTTAAGGGAAGAAGGGGCTGGTTATCCAACACCAGAAGCCCTGCCCTGCTCCTCAGCATGTCTTATCCTTCCCTTCATCTTTGTCACCGATGATGTGGTCCTCTGAGATACATCTACTTGGTTTCTTGTTAGAGTCAAAGAGTTGGGACTGGAGACAGGACTCCACCATTGAACATTTGAGTCCAGTCTACATGTGCTTGAAGCCTATTGCACACCCATGTGTTCACATTGTCTAGAAGGGAATGAGAGAGAACAGGTGAGGGCATGGCATGGCAGTGAGCAACACATCTGGTCTGATGATTCTGGTCATTTCTTACCGTTTCATCGTGTACATAGCCTCGGGCCCTACAGTTTAGGTATCAAGTATCTAGCCTGTTTTGTTGTAAAGTTGGGAACTTCCCTACAGGTTTAGGCTCTTGGAAATCTTTGTGGGAAATGGACTTGTTAGAGTGCCCAGCACTCTAGCAGTTCTTGCAGAGGACAGGACAAGGCAGCCAACATTTTCCATGTTTCCTAATGTGGCCCAGTGGACTGGATGAGAACGAAATTGCCCAATGATTCATCCTTCTGAGGCCCTTGTCTTGCAGCCAAATCAGTCAATTCCTAGAAACGCCCCAAGTGGGACTCTTTCTCCCACCCTAGCCCCGCCTGAAGTGATACAACCCACCCTAGAGATGTTGTTGATGGGGATGCCGACAGGTCTCCCTGGGTTTGATGAGGTGATGGGATTAACGAGAAACACGCCCAGTCCCAGTCCCAGCTCCAGTCATGGCTCGAAATCTCCAGAACCTCTTAGTGCTTTCAAACAGGGGAAATAACTCATTCCCAGATTTTCTCATTTGCAGGCCCATGCACTTCTGATCCTGGGGCCCAGCTCCATGCCTTCCAGTAGAGGCCAGATGCATTGGGATTGATTTGCATTGGAGGATGCTCCTGTGGTCCTTTTCCCTTCCTAGGCCCCTGGGCACGCAGCCCAGATGCTTGCTTTTTTGAGGCTCCTCAGAAAACATGGAGCCAATGACTTCACTTCCCATTCAACGAATGTGAGGTTGCCAAAGGGTATCTGTGGGGCAGGCAGGATTCTCTGTCACAGGATCTCTACAACCACTATGAGGTGGCAGACAGAAATTTCAACTACCCCGAGTTGAGACTTACAAGTCTGCCCTTTCACAGTCTCTTAAGAAATGGGTTCTATTTTTCGCACCTTCTTTCCTACTCTAGAAAGTGGGTCACGACCATTGAACTCCATACCTATCTATGTTGGGATATCACGTGCTGATAGAATTTGACATTTTGAATGGATTGGGGGGACCAGACCCTATGGGAAGAGCAGCAGTTTTTGCCACTAGTCTCACTGGACAGCAAATTTCCCTGATAACTTTTCACGTCTGGAATGACCTTGACTTTGGCCATACATCCTCTGTAGAATTGCATTAACACTACATGTTTGGTCAGAGATCTGAGACTCACAGAAACCCACTGTCACACATGTGCGTTCATTCCTCTATTAAAAACCAAACACATTTTGAATGAAAGTCTATTATATGAGGGGGCTTCAAAAGTGCGTGAAAAAGTTGTAATAAGATTTTAAAATTTGTCCACAATCTTTTTGAAGCCCCCTCATATAGCAGGAACTTCTGAGCATCCAGAAGCTGCTGGTGAACTACTAGATGGCTGCTGACCCTGTGTTTTGAGTGCGGAGGCTGCTTTGTCCAGTGTCCACAGCCAATGACAAGACCAAAGGAAACCTGATGTCTAATAGAGTCCAGCACCTGGGTTTCTGAGGGTTCTGAGCACAAGGGCCCCTTTTAGCTCGCTAGTCTTTAATTTCCAGTCCTGTGTTCTCTTCCAGTGTGTGTTTCCAACGGAAAGACCTATTCCCATGGCGAGTCCTGGCATCCAAACCTCCGGGCATTTGGCATTGTTGAGTGTGTGCTGTGCACTTGTAATGTCACCAAGCAGGAGTGTAAGAAAATCCACTGCCCCAGTCGATACCCCTGCAAGTATCCTCAAAAAATAGATGGAAAATGCTGCAAGGTGTGTCCAGGTAAAAAGTCAAAAGGTGCGTTGGTTGGAGGCCCTGCCTTTGGTTGACTGAGATCCTCCTATGGTTGTTTTCAACATCAGTTGAGCTTCAAAAGCAAAATCAATCTGACATATCATTTTAATGGCCATACTTCCAATAATAATGAACAATTCTCTCCTCTCTTGACCGGCTGATAAGATGGTTCCTTGGAAGAAATTTACTAGTGTGAAAAAATGGGGGATGGGGTAGGGGTGGAAATTTGCTTTTGTGTACCATGCCATTGACCCATGTAGTTCCAAGTCCCTTTTCTAAATAGTAGAGAAATGAGATTATCATGATTACCAGGAAGAATAGTAGCACTTTTCAATTACATCATCATTTAACTCATGAAAGCACATTACTTGGAGATAGGATTTGACACAGGTTGAGTTATTGTAGAAGGAGCTGGGTTCTGGCCCAATTTCCTTTCTTTTTTTTTTATAGGATAGATCATAAGTTTCAGTTTATTCAGTTATTTGAATGAATTTTTAATTTCGAATTAGGTGGGATGCTCCCGCCCACCCCCTTCCAATTCTCTAGTTGTGTGACTGCGGAAATCTGTCCTGTCCACTTTGAGCCTCATAAACCTCATCTGTGCAATGAGAAATTTGGAATTATTCATTGCTACGTTCTCTTCAAATTCTAAAATTCTATCAACTCATAATTGCTTCTCCTTTACAGATGACAAAATGGAGGTAAAATGATTTGCCCAGAGCACGAAACTAATTGGTAATAAAGCCACAGCCTAGAAACCAGGTGATTTTCTAGGCTGGTAGAAAATGACATTTTTTAAAGGTGAATTAATGCCTTCAATTGATGAGCTGGCTAAAATGATATAGTATTGGACAGGAGCCTTGGCAAGTCCAAATGCTGATGCTAACTCGACAAGAAAGCAATTCTATGAGAGAAAGAGGAGGCAGTCGGCTGCCCCCCAAAAGCGCAGCCTTGGAGACTCCCTGGAGCACTTCTGCTCTGTCCTATAGGCTGCAGTGAGTCAGAGTGGACTAGATGGCAGGAGGTGGGTAGTACTGGAGTTGATTTTGGAATTTGTAATCAAGGATTCAAGACCTGGATCTGCCAGATTCTCAGTGCGACCTCAAACACATCACTTTGTTTCTCTGATCCCCAGTTAACTTTTCTGCAGAATAGAGGAATCTAAAGAGATGATTTCTCAGGGTCTGTCTGGCGCTAGAAGTTCATGAATCAATCAATTCCAGGAACATGCCTTTATCATTACTCTCCCTGCCTGCCAAGCATTTCTCAAGGCACAGATGCAAAACAAAACATTCTTACATGTCAGCAGAGGGTTAAATAATTGATTCCTTCATCTTAGGCAATTCCTCATGACCAAACAGGCGAAAGGCATCTTGAGCATCTTCGATGCAATGGACAGTGGTTCTCAAACTCTCTGCACATTGGAATCACCCAGAAAGATTCTAAAAGGAAGTGCATCCCATCCCCCAAAATGATGATTTAGCCCAGGGGTCAGGAAATGGCACCTTGTGAGCCACCTGCAGTTCTTTTAGTATGTACATGTGGCTCTGAAGTAAGATGGAAACATTGTAAAGGAACGTCTTCAGATCATGGTGTTTCATTTCTTTGGGAAAATCTACTTATAACGCTCAAATAATTTTTAAATTGCTGTGAGGGACAGGCTCTTCTATCTCAAAAGTGGGCTAGACTGTGGATAAGTGTTAATGTGGGTGAAATGGAAGATAGTAGCCCATCAGAGGAAGAATAGAAATCAAGGAGGGAGTAAAGGGTAAATTATTAGATTACTTTAGTAATCTGATTAATAGTTTATACTGTTAAATATGAAGTCGATGATCTGAAATGTTAATGTTCAGCTAATTTAAATAAGAACTTGTAAAACAATACACAAAAACTTGAAAAACAAAATGAAACATAGTTAAAACACATACGCGGCAATAAAAAAAAAGCACGAGTTTCAAAAAAATTTTTCCCCAGGTAAGATAAATCTTCTCACTACAAAATACTTAAATTTGAATCTCAGACCTTCAGGATAAATCTTATTTCATTGTGTGCCTAAGTTTCTATTGATCCAGTTGATTCTTATAAGAGAAAGAATTTAAAAAGTATGAAAAGAGGATACACAATGGGCATCATCTATTAAATAATTGCCACTTGATGTTGGTGATATTTATCAAAACGTTCATGTATGTACTAGTTGGCTCAGCATCTTCATTCCTGGGAATACTAAGAAAGAGATCAGAGACACATATACAAAATAAACACAAGGATGTTTGTTGCAGTGCTGTTTACAATAATGAAAATTTGGAACCAATATAAAAGTCTGCCAATTCGGGAATGGGTAAATAAATGCCCTTTAGAAGTGAGGATGTCAAGACTCTGTCACACATACTTTGCACATGTTATCAGGAGAAAACCACTTCCTGGAAAAGGACATCATGCATTATCAAGGGCTCATGAGGGAGGAGGGAGCGGGGAGGGAGGGGAAAAATGAGGACCTAATGCCGGGGCCTAAGTGGATAGGAAATGTTTTGAGAATGATGAGGGCAACGAATGTACAAATGCGCTTTACACAATTGATGTATGTATGGATTGTGATAAGAGTTGTATGAGCCCCTAATAAAATGATTTTAAAAAAAAGTCAAAGGTCATCAGTAGAGTGGATGGTCCTCCCGGAGATGGAATGACAGGGTGGCTGTACCAAAGGGCTAAAACAACACTCATGAGGATGGCTCAGTACTGGGTGGTGTTTTATTCTGTTGTACGTCATGTCACAATGAGTCGGAATTGAATTCATGGTATCTAACGACATCTATACTGTGGAGTGTTCTGCAACCCTGTAAAATCATTGTAGACCAAGATTTAATGGCATGGAAAGATGCTTGCAAGATATAAAGTAAAAAAGCAAGCTATAAAACAATATGTATATGATATCACTAGTTGAAATAAAAGTAAATGTTTATGTATGCTTAATCAACACATTTTTTAAAGTACTGGAAGAATATAGATCAGGATGTTAAGATAGGCCGGGTATGTGGCAGAATGTTCACAGTGGCCATCTTTGGGTGACTGAATTATGGGTAATTCTTATGTCCTTATTGTTGTATAGCTATTTCCTACATTTTTAACATAATCATCTATTACCTTTGTAATTAGAAAACATAATAAACGTATGTTAAAAACCACCCTCCAGATTCCCAGTTGGCAATAAATTAAAGAGACTGTTGTATGAACCTTGCACTGAAATAGCCATCTTTCCTGCTTCCCCAGCCTGGTCCAGGGAGTGATGATAAGGGACTCCTTGGGCAACCTGCAATGAGAAAAGAGATTCTGTCCTGTTCTGTGAACTTCTCAGTGTCTGCATGTGGACTCATTCCTACTTTTAGCATATGTGCTGCCGAAGCAAGCACATATTGAATCATTCCTGATAGTCCTAATGGCCTAAGGATGCTCACTGTCCACACAGCCCAGCATACCTCCTCCAGGCCAGCAGCACCTACTGAGCTTCAAAGGGCATGCACCCATACACCCATTCAATCTGGAAATAGCGAGTTAATGCCAACTCTGTGTCAGACACTCTTGCAGGCAAACATGACAAAACTACTTGTCATTAGGGTCCTTCTAGTCTAGTGGGAGAAGACAAGTCAACACAACCCAATCAAATGACTTTAGGTTGTGGTGAATAAAGATTGAGCAAGAGCAAGAGATGGGTTTGACCTAAAGCTAAATCGAGAGAATGTTGAGGGGAGCACTTTTGAAAGGCTGGTCTGGTGAGGAGGGTATAGGAGGCCTGGTAGGGCACGATCAAGGGTAATGTAACCAAGAGGAATTACTGAAACCCAAATGAAGACTGAGCATGATCGTGGGACAAGAGGAAAGTCAAAAGAAATGAGGAGGGCTCTGACACAAGAGAAGCCAGGGTATGAGATGAAGCGGTGTACTTCCAAGCCCACAGAACAAGTAAAGCTGAGTGCTTTGGGGCAGGAAGCTGAATTATGGAATGTGGTGCCAGCACTTAATTGGAGTTGGTTTTGTTGACCTATGGAGTGGAAGCTGAGTGCCTTTGGGCTGCTTATCACAGAGTAGCATGCCCTTTAGGGATTTATTGTCAGCCCTAAAATTGCTTTGTAACGTTACCCAAGCAGGGCAGAAGCCAAGCCAAGTGGCTGAGCCCAGAGAAAAGCCATGTGAGCATGGCAGAGAAGAGACTGTCCTGACTGGGCAAATGTATCATGAGCTTTTCTCACCTGAATGATAACCTGTTAAATTTCCTAATAATACTCATAACCATATTGTCTCCATTCTGCGTGACCACTGCAATGAATGACCAAACCCAGTTGAAAAGTACAGTGTGCTGTAGTTAAAAAAAAAAAAGAAACGAGGAAAGAGCTAAAAGATAAAGGGCATTTATAGAGGTCTAAATAAAGGCATGTGCATATATAAATATATTTTTATATGAGGATGGGGAAATAGATCTATGGGCATATATTTATAGGTTTAGTATTAAGGTAGCAGAAGGACACTGGGCCTCCACTCAAGCACTCCCTCAATGCAAGAATACGTTCTTCTATTAAATTGGCATTCTATGATGCTCACCTTCCCGACACAATTGCTGAAGACAAAGCAGGTGAGTAAGTAAATGTGGTGAAGAAAGTTGATGGTGCCCGGCTATCAAAATATATAGCATCTGGAGTCTTAAAGCCTTGAAGGTAAATAAGCAGCCATCTAGCTCAGAAGCAACAAAGCCCATATGAAGAAGCACACCAGCCGGCGTGATCATAAGGTGCCGAAGGGATCAGTTATCAGGCATCAAAGAACAAAAAATCATATCACTGTGTGCTCACCTCCTGATGCAATCACTGAAGACAAATGGGTGCATAAGTAAATGTGGTGAAGAAAGTTGATGATGCCCAGCTATCAAAAGATATAGCATCTGGGGTCTTAAAGGCTTGAAGGTAAAACCAGCGGTCATCTAGCTCAAAAGCAGCAAAGCCCAAATGGAAGAAGCACTCCAGCCTGTGCGATCACGAGATGTCGAAGGGATCAGGTATCAGGCATCATCAGAACAAAAAAATCATATCATTGTGAATGAGGTGGGGAGTGCAGAATGGAGGCCCAAAGCCCATTTGCAGGCCACTGTCCATCCCCTTACAGAAGGTTCTCGGGGAGGAGATAACCCAGTCAGAATGCGATATAGCAATGATGAAACATACACCTTTCCTCTAGTTCCTAAATGCCCCCCCACCACCACCATTATCATGATCCCAATTCTACCTTACAAATCTGGCTAGACCAGAGGATGTACATTGGTACAAATAGGAACTGGAAACACAGGGAATCCAGGGCGGATGATCCCTTCAGGACCAGTGGTGTGAGTGGCGATATTGGGAGTGTGGAGGGAGGGTGGGTTGGAAAGGGGGAACCGATTACAAGGATCTACATATAACCTCCTCTCTGGGGGACAGACAACAGAGAAGTGGGTGAAGGGAGAAGTTGGACAGGGCAAGATATGACAAAATAATAATTTATAAATTATCAAGGGTTCACGAGGGAGGGGGGAGTGGGGAGGGAAGAGAAAAAATGAGGAGCTGATGCCAGGGGCTTAGGTGGAGAGCAAATGTTTTGAGAATGATGAGGGCAATGACTGTACAAATGTGATTTACACGATTGATGTCTGTATTGATAAGAGTTGTATGAGCCCCTAATAAAATGACAGAAAGAAAAAGAAAGGCTGGCCAGGAAAGACGTGCCAGAAGAAAATGATATGTGTGTTGAGTCGAGTGATATGAAGGGGTGATAAAGTGGAAGATCATGTCATACTTGGGCTCTTAAAATGACATATCACTAAGGCAAAGGAACAATGGAGGAAGGGGGAAGAAAATAAGACTAGTATATTCGGTTATTTCATGTTGATAACTCACTGCCATTGAAGCTATTGTGACTCATAAGTAATACGCGAAATTGACTGCTGACCAAGCCAAGAGTTTCTTGTGGTAACAAATGAATGCAGGCTACTCCAGGAACAAATTTGGGCCAAAGAAACCAAGCGATTTTCACCACTCTCTTCCTTATGCTCTGGTAGAGGCTGGCCTGGTCTTGATTGCAAATCAGTAGTTAACTACAGGGCTGTGTAAGACTTCCACTTCCTAAAGTAGAACCTCCTAACCCCTAACCTCCCACATCAGTGGCAGGAATTTCCGTACAACATGAAAGACTCCTGGTCTGAGTTAGTACATCTCCTTCATCAGGCACTGTGCGGACTGACTTTTTAGTATTGGCAAGAACAGGTGGAGCTCAGAACAGCTTGCTTGTGGAAGGTGTGCATGGCTAAGGATGGCTTCAAGTGTGCTGCATGGCATGCCCCTCCAGAAGGAAACCTAAGAAGGTGAACGGGGAATCATTGAGGTGGAGAGTGTAGCATGAGGCAGATGTTGCCCGAGTAGGTAGCTCCAAGAACACAGTTTGCTCACTCTAAATATTTACAAATGCCAGTTAGGATTGTGTTACTAAGAGGTCTTGCTCTTTGGGCTAGTAAATTAAGCTCTTGGAGGAGGAGGGTGTTATGGGACAGGATGACTTTGTAGCACATAAATATTTCTTGTACCACCATCCATTTCCTCAGCTGTTTATAGTCCTGGCCAATATTGAACTGATGTGCAGAGTTTAGGCAGATCTTGCTCTCAAGGTGATTCCTGAATATACAGTTATCCTTGTACAGTCAGGGCCTACTTCCCCCTCCCCCAATCCCCCTGTCCCCAATCCAAAAGTATTAGCATATAGCCCTTCACTTCCTAACATAGAGTAAAAAAGACTAGCCCACTGAGTCACCAGATTGCTAAAAAGCAGGACAAGAGACAAAAGGCAGTTTGATTCTTAGAGAATCAACCAATTGAGTCATCCAATCAGAGAAGACTATGGTTTTGTCCATGTAGTGGCTAAATGGTGACAGGCTGGAAAAGTTAATCAAGTCCACAGAAGACATAAGACAACAATTTGTTTACGATGTCTAATGCAAATGTGTCTGATTGGTGAACAGCGAAACTCCCTCATTAGAGTCACAGATCCCAAGTACACAGTGTCCAATGCCTTCATCCCGAACTATTTAGATTTTCTTAACAGAGGGCTTCTGCATATGTTCCAATTTGGGGCGTGTCCGTGGCTTCTCTTGGCTGATCCTGGTCCCAGTGTCCATTTAAAATATCTAGCTGTAAAGGGTGCTGATTTGGAGGCTAGCAAAGAAATGAACTTACTAACAACCAACCAGGAGGTATTTTTGTTTTGGTCAGGGGTTGAGGAGAGTGGAAGGTGGAGGGAATAAGGAGGATCACAGGGCTAATATCTTTTTTGCCTGGGAGCTGAAATGCAACAGTTTAGTTTGCGTATTAAATGATCCACAGTTGAGGGATTTGGGCCACGTTTGGTGTGTCTCAGGGCTGTTCATTTGACATAGCATACATATGACTCATCTGACATCTAGGTTCTGGCACGAATGTTAATCTGGTAATATCGGTCCCCTTACAAACAAATCAAAGAGCACTCAGAAATGTCAAGCCAATTCGGATAGATCCTTTGGGCAAATATATGCACATAAATGAGTGTCATAGATGGTTTCTAAACATATTCAAGTGATTCCAGGGAAGTTAACCAAGGCCTTCTGTCAGCCGATGCCCTGAATTTCTATTGGCAACACTGGACTGGACAGACCATAATCCTGACCCTGTCTAGAAAAGTCTATGTTCATTTTCATGTCCAGGAGAGTTGTACCTGGCCACATTCTCCCTCCTCCCCATGAATGTCCAGTTCTTAGTGAGGGCAGGAAGTGAAAGCAGTTTCCTTTGGGGGCCATGTTCTGCAGAACTGTGGATTCTGCCATCCTATATACTTCAGTATGCTCCTTTGTGATTTGGTGGCTCTTTTGAGGTGAGTCAATGCTAGGCAAATGAAGTATGAGTGGGACGTCTGTCAGAACCTTCTCATTCATTTTCCACTTTTGAGAAATGTATGGCATTAGGAACAGTAAGATACACAAATCCCCAAGATTCACTTTTGCTTTTGGAAAATCGTGACAAAACTCTACCTGCCTCCTGTTTCCAGAAGAACTTCCAAGCCCAAGCTTTGACAGCAAGGGCTATTTCTGTGGAGAAGAAACGATGCCAGTGTATGAATCTGTGTTTATGGAAGATGGGGAGACCACCAGAAAAATAGCACTGGAGACTGAGAGACCACCTCAGGTTGAGGTCCATGTTTGGACCATTCGAAAAGGTGAGCAATTAGAGGGCACAAGGAATGAAGGGAAGACTCACCTTAATTTTATTTCAGCTTATCCTTCTGTTTGGGTCAAAACTTTCCTGGTTAGTTAGAAACTAAAATATGCCTAAAACATTTGTGACTGTTGCCTTGAAGTTTAATCATGGATTTTGCTACAAAGTATTTACCCTTCAAGACTGTTATTTTTCTCACCTCACCCAACACTGGCTGCATACCAGCCTCTTCTATAGCCTAAAAGACACCCCCCTTTATATTTCCTCCCCTCTCATAATTTCTACCTTTTCCCTCCCCCGTGCTTCATAGCCTTCAAAGTCTCCTTTGGGTGTGAAAACCATTTTCGTATTTTATTTTACAATGGTGGTCTCATACAATATTTGTCCTTAAAAGACTGACTCACTTTGCTGAGCAAAGTGTCTTCAAAAGTTTCCATTATCATGACAGTTTCGTCATTGCTTTTTAGAGACGCTTACTAGTCCATTGTATGTAAGCACCAGAGTTCATTTACCCATTCCTCTACAGGTGGGTAGCTAGACTTTTTTTTTTTAAAGAGAACCAATGCCAGGGCTCCACCCCGCAAGAGCCTGACTAATTTGCCTGGGGTGGGGCCCGGGCACCAGTGTTGTTTTGTCCTGTTGTGTTTTTTTTTAAAGCTCTGTGAATGATTTTAATATGAACAGTTAACTTTGAGAACTACCTGAGTGAAATTCGCGATCCTCTAATTTTTAAGAAAAAATTTAATGCCATATAATTCACTTATCATACAATTCAACAGTTCAATCATATCAGAAGGGTTGTGCAATCACCACCACAGTCAATTTTAGAACATTTTCCTCTTTCTTGTACTCATTGTTATTAGCTCCTCTTCCCCCCAACTTCCCCTACCATACCCCCAAGAAATCATTATTCCAGTTACTGTTTCTATAGATTTACCTCTCCTGGATTTCATAGATGGAAAACATTATTAAAAAATTAGCAATAATAACAAAGTAAAACAGAAAAACATCATTCAAAAAGAAAGCCGAAAATAGTACTAGAACTAGTTTAAAATGGGTTAAAGGGGCGATAAATGGTAAAGTGTTAGAGTTTTATCTTCCTTTACAGTATGATGCTCAACAAACATTCAACTGTTAATTTAGTGTGAGGTTAAATCTCCAGAATCATTCTATGTATTCTTGGAGTAAGACAACTTTCTTTCTTTCTTTCTTTCTTTCTTTCTTTCTTTCTTTCTTTCTTTCTTTCTTTTCAAGGCATCATCTGTTCCCTCTGGAAGCTTAGAGTCTCACGGAAGAAACTATTTCAGTCCTGTTGTTCCATTTCTTTCCTGATTATTCACATTGACCATCATAAGCAACTGTATGCCATTTACTGTGTGTGATCTTTCTGCTATTTAAGCCATCCCATAGACACAAGACTCCCCAAACCAACTCACACCCGCTGAGTCAATGCTGACTCATAGTGACCCCCTGTGGGTTTCTGAGACTGTACACTGTTTACAGGATTAGAAAGCCCAGTCTTTCTCTTACGGAGCTGCTGGTGGTTTCAAACTGCTGACCATGCAGATCACAACCCAATGTGTAACCACCATCTGAGATTCCATATCGCTCTCGTACTGTCTTTCACCTCAAGTGCTCAGATTTCAGGGTGCATCATAACCACACAAAGAGGTGTTTGAAAATACAATTCCCTTGCCCATTCAAGAGCTGTGACTAGAGTAGGCTTTGGATAAGTTCTAAACATTTGCATCTTGGACACACAGTCAAATGATTCTAATGCAAGTATCATATTTTCAGAAGCACGCCAGTAATTTTGTGAGCCTTACCCCCCCCCTTTAACAACCATCTTTCTGTCTTTGATTCTGGTGGCATTCTGGGTGAAGCATTTGGGGGCTGCTGACCACAAGGCCAGTGGTTCAAACAACATACCCATCACTCACTAGGAGAACGATGAGACTGGCTGCTCCTGTAATGATTCACAGTCTTAGAAATTTTAAGGAGGATTTCCACTCGATCCTATAAGGTTGTTATGAATCAGAATTGACTCGGTGGTAATGGGTTTGTCTTAATGTGAATCTCTCCCTAAACACAGCTTTCTCCCCCTACCACTGAAGTTGAAGTGCCCCTTATGGATTTCCAAGGCTGTAAACTTTTGTGAGAGTAAGAAACCTCATCTCGGTCTCATGTAGTGGCTGGCAGTTTCAAACGGCTGACCTCAGGTTTAGCAGTCCAACACACAACTTACTGTGCCACCAGGGTACCTTAAAATAAGATAGACCCTTAAAAATGGCATGTTTTACCTCCATGCTTATTTTTGCTCAACCCTGAGGAATGGTGAGTTTTCTCTATCTACTTACCTAGCTCATCCATAGCTGACCACCTAGGAAAAGGACTGTCCTGTTGACTTTACTAGCAGTGGGGCTCACTATTGATCTCCCCACATCTCTCTCCCCACAGAGGTATGTAGATGGTTTTGACGGTCAGTGCAGTATCTAAGTAGCCTCTTATTCACAGTGCTGGGTAATCAAGGCTTGTGCTTGCTGTGCAGAGAAAAACCTCCTCTTCATTGACTTCTTCCCCTGTAGGCATCTTGAGCGTTATTGAAATGGGCTGGTAACATGTTGCTCTTTAACTGCAAGGCAGTTTTCAGTTGTTTATCTGGTAGTCTGATTTAAGCACACACACACACACACACACACACTCACGCACGCACACATACTCAGACAAAATTGAGGCTTTAGAAGCCACTTTATTTTAACTTTTCTCACTTTTTTTATAACAAGAGTAAAGGAGCTGTTATTTCCCAAAGGAAAATACGCTTTTCAGCGAGTTTAGAAACAGGGTGGCTTCTCCATTTATACAAACTACCTGATTGCACTTCTCCTGCTGGCTCTCATTGCTTAGCCAGGAGGGCAGCCCAGTGGTTTGGCAGGCACATTACCCAGACTTGGGGCAAGGGCAGCGTTTCTTATACTGCCTTTGGCTGAAGAAGCTCCAACCAGCACTCATGCACGATTCCATGTTGCTTTTCCTGGAATGGGGGTGGGGTGGGGTTCCCATAGTCAACAGCACTAGTTCCCTTATCTCCATCCCCTAGAAAAGCCAAGGGGAGGCCATTGAGCCAAGGAAACAAATGGAGTCAATTATAAGCACTGAGCCATCCAAGTTCTTGTTTAAGCACATTACACAACCCAGCTCGATACTCCTAAGCCCCAGTAATGAGATGATATGCTCAGCCCAAGCAGAAAAGGGAGTCGGTGGTTCCAGAGAGAGCACGCCTGACCACCTGCCCCACTTTTTGCTTAACTCCAGGCATCCTCCAGCACTTCCATATTGAGAAGATCTCCAAGAGGATGTTTGAGGAGCTCCATCACTTCAAGCTGGTGACCAGGACAACCTTGAGTAAGTGCCACTGATCGTTGTTGACTACCGCCACCCTGGCAATGGCATTCAGTTTTGAATGGAGCAGAGCCCCCCGCCACCCCCCCCAAAGAAAGTCCCTCTGTTTCTTTGGTGAACTTTAACAACGTTCAAAAGCAACTGTTGCAGATGTGCTAGTTCTACCCTGGGTGACTTCCGTCGTGACTGGGGTGCCTGAATGTAAACGGACAAGCTTGGAAGTGATGAGTACCAACTCAGGTGGAATCTGCGTATATGCTGCTCAGGTCAAGAGGTCTGGAATAGCCAATCCAGAGCTTCAAGGGGGTTGGAGACAGCTCCCAAGACTTCTGGTCTTTGTGGAGACTTTGCATTTGGTGTTGGAGATGAGAGAGAGAAAATGCCAGTCCAGTACCTGGCTCCATCAAAGCTCTGTTTGGCTCTTTGGGCACTGCACCTAGGTGGTCATGCATCTTTAAAAATATTCACATAACCTAGTGTCCTTACAGCTCTTCCACTTCACATGCTAGAGGGAGCCTAGGTATTTGATAGCACTAGGCACTGTTAATCTGTGTGTGTGTAAGTTTTAGGAAGAGGTGCTTCTTGTTGTGTAGACTAAAAGGCAAGTTGTTAGGAAGGCAGCTGGTGATGGTTTGAATAATAAGCTCTTGCATTGTATTAAGTCGGTGAGACAGAGGAGGAGAGGTCCATGGGAGAGACATCTCTGAAGTGAAGTCTGCAAAATTAGGTATCAAGGAGAGATATGATTCAACAGCTTTATAGACTGGGTGAATGATAATACCATTGAAAATCTAGGTAGGTATTGGTGAAAATAATGAGTGTTACTTGGAACATGTTTAGGGTAAGTTACTTAAGAGTCAGCTGAGCAGAGATAGCCAAGAGGCCGCAGGCAATAGGGTGGATATGGTCACTTCTTTTCTCTTCTGCCAGAGACTAGGAGACATTCAGTGCATGTGACCAAAACCAACTCAGATGTGAGGCAGGAACGAAGGAGGCAGAATCTTGGGTCTCAGGATCAATGACATGACTCTTTGCCCATCGCCACTGGAATGTGTGGTAGACCTCCAACTGTGTGCAGTTGAAGGAAGTAGGCAATGAAGTGGTTGTTCAGGTTCATCTGGCCATGAAGAACAAGCCCCATTCCTTTATATCATGTGCCTTTCAGAGAGAATGGGCTGAGGGAAGGATCCAAGGGATAAAGAAGCCACAAAATGGAGCTCCCAGGTAAGCTGGCCAGGTCTCTGTATAGGCAGGAAGAGAGAAGAGGTTCCGAAGATGTTTGTGATTAGGAGGCACTGGTTTTCCTTGGGTTCAAAGGTCTCCTGGTTACAGCACTGGGAGCACAGCAATAAAAAGAAAACTGAAGATACCTGGGGCGAGAAGTTCATTGCGAAGGTTATTTAACACAGCCGGGGGATGGCAAGAGAAGGAAGATCTTGCCCTTCAAGGACCTGGAGGATTAGAAAAGGGATGGGCCAGAAACATAAAGGGGGTTCCAGTGTCCAGCACAGAACTTGCGAGCAAAATGTTTGCTCAGGTAACAGGCTAGAATGGGGAAATAGGGAAATTGGTAGGGAAACGTTAGCAGTGGTACAATTCCGTGGAGGGAGCAGAGAAAACAGGAAATGGCAAAGAACACAACCATAAATAACAGGGAATGGAAGGGATGTAGCTGCACTGGTCCAGCATGGAAACAGATCCCATGAGAGGAGAAGGGAAATATTTATGGAGGCATGGGAGGGAATTTAGGGATGCTAAAGAACAGAGCGTAGACTTAGGTGAAAGCAGAGGTGAGCAAGCAGGTCGCCCACGCGCGTCCCCCCCCCACCCCCCGCCAAAGTTTTATTGACATATAGTTAGCATAGCACACAATTCAATAATTCCATCACACCAAGAAGCGTTGTACAATCAGCACCACAATCATTTCCAGAACCTTTGCTTCATTCTTGTGCTCACCATTATGAGCTCTCCAGTTCCCTACAACCCTCCCTGCTACGCCCCCAAGGAACCATTAATTCTGCTACTGTCCCTACAGACTCACCGATCCTGGATGGCATATAAAGAAAAATATTAAAAGAAAAAAATTCAACAAAAACTAACAAGAGCAAAGTAAAACCAATGAAAGCCTCAATGGGAAAGAAAGCAGAAAACATTAAAAACTAGAGCAAATTTAAATGGATCCTAAAGGAGAATAAATGATAGGGTGCTGAGTTTTAACCTAACTATGTCTGCAAGAATTACTTTTCAATGCATTCCGCATACTAGCAAGGCCATACACCTCCCTGGTGCAAGATTCAGCAGGGGCTTAATCCATGTGTACTTCCCTTTTGGGTGGCAGGAACAGAGACAAGAGCTGTACATAATCAAGTAACCCAAGCCAATATTTGGAGGTCCTAAGGGTTAGCACAAGCAGCCCTGGTGGCATTGTGGGATAAGCATTGGCCTGCTAATCCAAAGTTCAACGATTCCACCTCACCAGCCATTCTTCGGGAGAAGGATGAGGCTGTCTGTTCCCATAAAGATTTACGGTCTGGGAAACCCTCTACAGGGTCACCATGAGTCAGACTCGACTCAATGGCAGTGGGTAAAAGTTAGTGAAACCTCAGTCATATCCCAGACATCACTTTCCAAAGTGCCTTGTTAGGCCTAGTGAGCTGCCTAAATCACCAACAAATGGAAAATAGAGCATTCTGTACATGCTAAATATTCTGTCAAGATTCCAGGCATAATACTTACATTTTACTCTTGAAGAAGCAAGTTACATATTATTCTTGGGCTTCTTACCAATACTATGTGTTGAAATGAAAAGCCCACGGCCCATTTTCTCTATCTGCCCCAGCTCCGCCCACCCCCCCACCTCACCCCTTTCTGGAGCCCTCTCACATTTGTGTTCCAAATTCCCTGATGGGTTCATGAGTGAGTGGGTAAGGATTGAATATATTGGTTTTACTCTCGATTTGCTCAGCGCTCTCCTTTTACATTCTCTTGGCTATTCTGTGTTTTTCTTTCAGGCCAGTGGAAGATATTCACTGAAGGTGAAGCTCAGATCAGCCAGATGTGTTCACGTCGTGTGTGCAGAACAGAACTTGAAGATTTGGTCAAAGTTTTGTTCCTGGAGAAGTCTGAAAAGGGCCACTGTTAGAGGCGACAGCCAGAACACTCAAGCTGCAGCTGGACTGCAGGCTTATTTTGCTTAAGTCAACAGTGTTCTAAAATCTCCAACTCAATAGCAGTCACTTATTCATGCCATACACAGCATCACTTGCTCCTTTATGTGGGGGGTGTGGGGTGTGCGTCAGGCCTTAAGTGTTTCCTCTGAATAGACTAGAAGACTCTGGAAGTTTTTGTGGGAGGAAGAGCCGGGCTGTGGCTCTAGTCTCTTAGAGAAGCACATTATTTCTGTACAGGTTAAAGAGCAAACAGAACCCTGGGGTCGTAATCTAGATTGAAAAAGAGAGAAAGAAAATTGCTTGAGTAGGAATTTGGGAGTCCAAAATAATTATTTGCATGAAATTATACTTTTGGAATTTTAGAACGTCTTGGGTTTAAAGAAGAGTGCCACCACCACCACACCGCTTCCTAACACATGCACACACACACACACACATGTACATACAGTAAACTACCCTTCGGAGGCAAGGACAGCCGAGGTTCTGTCTCCTTTCCTTTGCCCAGATCCCAATTAGCTTGGAAGTCGTGGACACCCAAGAAAATATGAACGGAAGGTTCTGTCTTTTGGGTTTTTGGTGCGGTTGCTGATATTACCAACCATGATGGCAGGAAGAAGACCAATTTAGAGTCAGCTTTAGGGTGAAGTAGTGTATCACCTTTCCCTGATGACGCTTTCCCTCTTCCCCACTACCCCTGGGGGGACTGCATAAAAAAGGTAGACTTGGATTTTGAGTCCATATAAGATTAAATAGTTACTGAAGAAAGGCATGAATACATGTCAGTGAGACTGTCACTTATTTCCCAACTGACCAATGAATAATAGCTCAGTAGTAACTAATATTTCCCAAGGCCAGAGTTTTATGGCTAGAAAATTTTGTTTAAATAATTAAATTCTAAAAATTCCATAAAGGGACAGTTTTCTTTCTGTAAGTAGAAGGGTAGCTTCCACCCCACCCCCACCCCCCAGCCTCTGCCAAGTGGCTCCCTTCTCGTGGGCTTCCGTGTGTGGGATCATAACTTGAGAGAGTTATTTGTTGGAGGCGCTAGCAATTGAAGTAGGGATTGTTACTCTAAACCTTCCTATCACCCACTCTTAAATGACCAGGCCTGAATTTGAACCAAGGATCTTAGAGAAGGTGACCCCTAAAATGTCTATTTGGAGTGCAATACCAGAATAGAATGTATCCACTCTGAAATCTGCCTTGAGGTATCACTTCTGTGAGAAAGCCGCACATGCTCCACAGTCAGGATCGCAAGGATGCTCTCTAGATCTGTTGCCTCAGAAGGGAATGAATGAGGGCTTGGACAGAAGTGCTAAGGACCTCAGAATTCCATATTCCCTCACCTGTGACCATAAGTTAAAAGACCTTTTTCTTAGAGTATTTACACCACTAGGAAAACTCATAAAAGACCTAATCTTTTTGACAAGCTGGGAATAAAAGGGAGCCTGTCTTTATAAAGAAACACAAGAGCCTTGTGGCCAGGGCTTCATGAGATCAAGCCTCTCCCCAGCCCCTCCCATGCACTTCAGAAGAAGGGGATAGATCATCTTAGTTGAAAGGCCAGAGAACATTATTTGGGGGAGGGGGAGGCATATTAAACAGCTGGTGCCACCTTACCCAGAGGTGGCAGTCTCTCCATGGTACTGACTAGTAACCAGGTTGTGAATTAAAGCAGTGATTCAGCTTCAGGCGGAATCAAGAGGACCTCAAAGTCCTCCCACCCTAGTGTTTTCGAAAAGCTCAAACTTAAGGGGACACCCAGTAAGCTAGACTGTTGCCTCCAGGTCCTAGGACACACCTTTCCAAAGTGCTGCTGGAAGCAGGAGCTTCCCCTTCCTCTCCTGCCCCCAGTGTTTTGTGTTGGGTAGGGAGTAGGAGAGAAGCAACAGAGGCCATGCCACCTTTTGTTAGTAGAGAAGAATGGATGTGGTTCTTCTGTATTTATTTGTATCATAAGCATCACTTAGCAGCTGTAGCCATTTTAGAGTTACCTTCTATAAGCAAGTTAAGAATAACATAACAGGATTGCCATTTCACTCTTCCCACAGGACAAGTGCCTACCTAGGGTACTTATTTATGTAGTCATTATATTACTGGATTTTTAAATTAATAAACTTAAAGTTAATTTGAAAGATCATCTACACTGGTGTTGTGTGAGTGATTGCCTCTGTTTAATATTGTCCTTGCATTGGGTAGCTTAAGGTGATATGTGGGGCTTGGCGATTTCACACTCATGTTGACATGCCTGTCACACTATATCACAGGAGTTAAGAGTTAACATTGGAATCAGACTGCCTGAGTCTTTAATCCCAACTCTCCACTTACCTGATGTGTTTGCCAGTGCCCCTAACTATAAATTGGGAACAATAGTCTATTCTCCTTCGTTTGCAACCTTGCAAAGTTGAATAGATCAGTATAATAGTGTCTGCTGCACAGCAATCACATATGACCATGGAGATTCAAGGAAGAAGTGGCATTGGAGTTGCTCACTGGTCCTTGGTCTCTCTTAAAGTTAAGACTTTGAAGAGTTTTGAGGACAGAGGCCATTGGCTTGGGATTTTACTGGGAGCCTCAATTTGGGCCTGCTGGTCAGGGACAAATTTGTGTAAGGAGGAGGGTAAGCCTTTGATCCCATATACTGATCCAAACCCAAATTCCTCAGATGCCCACATCAGCTGTCTGTGCTCTTACAGAAGCCAAGATAAGAGTGTTTTTCGACAGAAAGTAGTCAAATGTGTCAAGTACTACTGAGATGTCAAATAACATACAAGGGTAAGACAAAGTATTGCTCCCCAAATCATAGGAACCTCGATTAAACAGAAATATCAAAATTTGAAGCAAAAGTTTCTTGACATATTCACCATCTAGGGCTCCATACTTGTAAGGGTGGTGTTTTCCATCTCTCTAGCCCTTCCCTGATGCGTTCTGCACTCTTCTGGTTGTAGCTGTTGTTTGGTGTCATGTAATAAACTCTAACTCATAGGGACTATGTGCACAACAAAATGAAACACTGCCCAGTCCGGCGCCATCCTCGCTATGGTTCCTCTGCTGGAGCCCATTGATGCAGCCAAAGTGTCAACCCATCTCATTGAGGGCCGTTTTGTCACCACCCCTCCATTTACCAAACATGATGTCCTCCAGAGACTAACCTCCCCAGATAATATGTCTGAATTATGCAAGATGAAGTCTTGCCGTCCTTGCCTTTAGGGAGGCAAGGCCTTACTTCTTCCAACAAAGACTGGTTTGTCCTTTGAGCAGTCCAAGGAGCTTTCAGTATTCTTCTCCAGCACCACAACTCAAATGCATCGATGCTTCTACAGTCTTCCTTATTCAGTGTTCCACTTTCACATGCATATGATACAATGGGGAATACATTGGGTCAGGTGCACATTAGTCCTCCAAGTAATAGCTTTGTTTTTCAATACTCTAAAGAGATCTTGTGCAGCAGATTTACCTAATGCAACACATTTTTTTAAATCTCTTGACTGCTGCTTCCATGAGCATTGATTGTGGATTCAAGTAAGAAAAAAAATCCTTGACAACGTCAACCTTTTCTCCATTTATAGTAGAACCCTGGACTTCAACGCTAATATGTTCTAGAAGGAGCATAGAGATGGGATGCAGTTGAGTTCCGTATCAATTTTCCTCATAAAAAATAACAAAATGGATTAATCCTTTTTTGAACATCAAATTTTTACCCTAACCTTGCCTTCTTGTACAAAACATTACACAGAAATTTCAAAGTAAATAAGTTCAGAGTTAAATAATGTAGTTTAAATAAGAAACTCAGCAGTAAAAAAGTTTTTAACAACTACAGGATGGCCCATACCTTGAGACGGATGAGGATCTGGATCTGTGAACACAGATGTATGTGTGAGAGGAGGTGTGGAGAGAGAGTCATAGTTTGGAAGGGAAATCCCCTTCTATAAAATCAACTGGTAGCTGCTTTTCAGGAGTTTTCCCCCTTCTTTGCCTTTTTTCACTAGGACCTGGCTGGCTTTCTCTAAAAAAGTCTAATGTGCTCTGCTGTTGGTGTTTCTAAATGAGTTTATTAAATGCTAAATGATAATCAACAATATCGATAACACGGTTAACCAGTTAGTTCCTTATCATGATGATTCTTTTAAAAAACTTTTTCTTAGGGCCCATGTTTTTATCTAAAAACAGTACAAAAAGCCACAAAAATTTTAAAAATAGAGCAAAAAGCTTGAAACAGCTGCAAAAGGTTTAAACAATGCATACTAGCAATGCCAACTAACGCAGAATGATCGAAACACGAACTGCTTTTGTTTACAAAAATCACATGCGTTGGTTGGGATTCCGATGTTTTGTTTGAGCTCTGATGCAAAATTTTTTCGACATTTCACCTCGAAATCCGATTCTGTCGAGTACTGATGCGGTCGAGTAACGGGGTTCTACTGTATCATGGTGTTAACTAATGGTCCGGTTGTGAGGCTTTTGGTCTTCCTTATATTGAGTTGTCATCCATACTGAAGACTACAATCCTTGATCTTTATCAGCAAGTACTTTGATTAATCCTCAATTTCAGCCAGCAAGGTTGTACCATCTACATACTGCAGGTTGTTAATAAGCCTTCCTCAATATCACATAGTTTGGCATCCTCAAATGACTCAAATCATGTTCCTTTTCAATGTTCTTTGAGTTTGGGGAATACACAAAAGCTTGTGGAGGGGCAATAACAAGGTTGTCCTGTGAATGGGATAACATTTCTCAATGAAATTCTGCTAGGAACATGCTGGCATGGAGTAGGGAACCAATGGAAAGGTCTGAGGGGATGTCCCCAATCCTAATTACGTGTCCTAATTACGTGGACACCTGCGCCTCCCCCCAGAATGTATTTCAGAGGGCAGCACTGAAGCTGCAGCTCCAGGAGAGGGACATGTCTGATCAGTGCACATGGGAACATATGAAGGGGGAGGAAGAGAGAGTGGAGCACATCCTGGCCCACCAGGCCTTGAGGACGATATTTCCACTCAGAGCAGCCAATCGACAGAGAAGACCACATGGCTGACCCCACTACAAGACACGACATCACTCACTGACCCATAGCCCTACAAGCAACAACACTAGAGACACAGTGTGGGAATTCCACCCGATCTGATCCCCCCAGCACACCAAGGCAAAACACTAAGGGAGTGCAACAGAACAGCAAGGGGAACAGAGCAATGAAGTCGCCAGGGAATATCAAAAATAGACTTTGGGGCCAGGGCTTGGTGCCCCATAAGACTCGACCAGAAAATACTCCTAAAGGCCAACAAACAGTCATTGAACTAACTATGAGCTTTTCTTTCTTGTTGTGTTTTGTTTTGTTGTCATTGGTTTGTTGTTGTTGTTGTTTTGTTTTATTTTGTTGCTTGGTTTTGCTCTGTCTTGTTTTTGTGCATGTTATTATCTCCGCAGGTCTGTCTAAATAAGATGGACTGGATGAACAATCTGGAGGAGAAAACCATGGGACCAACAGTTCCGGGGGGACATGGGACAGGGGGAGGTGGGGGAAAAGGAAGTGGTGTCAACAAACACAGCACAAGGGAACAACAAATGATCCAGACCAGTGGTGAGGAGGGTTTAGGAGGCCTGGGAGGTCGTGACCAAGGGTAATGTAACCGAGAGGAATTACTGAAACACAACTGAAGGCTGAACATGATAGTGGGACAAGAGGAAAGTAAAAAGAAATAGAGAAAAGAGCTGGGAGGCAAAGGGCATTTATAGAGGTCTAAATAAAGGCACGTACATATGTGAATATATTTATATATGAGCATGTGGAAATAGATCTATATGCATATATGTATAGGTTTAGTATTAAGGTAGCAGAAGGACATTGGGCCTCCACTCAAGTACTTCCTCAATGCAAGAATACTTTGTTCTATTAAATTGGCATTCCATGATGCTCACCTTCGTGACCCAATCACTGAATACAGTGCGGGTGCATAAGCAAATGTGGTGAAGAAAGCTGATTGTACCCAGCTATCAAAAGATATAGAATCTGGGGTCTTAAAGGCTTGAAGGTAAACAAGTGGCCATCTGGTTCAGAAGCAACAAAGCCCACATGGAAGAAGCACACCAGCCTGTGTGATAACGAGTTGTCACAGGGATCAGGGATCAGGCATCATCAGAGCAAAAAATCATATCATTGTGAATGAGGTGGGGAGTGTGGAGTGGAGACCCAAAGTCCATCTGTAGGCAATTGGACATCCCCATATGAAACGGTCTCGGGGAGGAGATGAGCTAGTCAGGGTGAAGTGTAGCAATGATGCAATTGTCCTCTAAGTTCCTAAATGCTTCCTCCCCCCACTATCATGATCCCAATTCTACCTTACAAATCTGGCTAGACCAGAGGATGTACACTGGTACAGATAGGAACTGGAAACACAGGGAATC